CAGCCCTGCCACACTGCACCTGGCCAGGCCGTGGACAGCAAGGAGAGTCAGCGGAGAGTCCTCACCTTTCGGGTGCCCATGGGTGTTGCAAACAAAAAACCCGAGTGCCAGTCCAAACCCAGAACTTGGGACATGTCGGAGAGAAAGTGTCTATTGGTGACACCATTTCCACAAAGGATGTGTGTATTACACCCTGGATTCAAACACCCATTGCGTATTGACCCCATGTTTGCGCATTTCCGGATAAAACCGTGTTATTTTGAGCCATTCTGGGTAATTTCTCAGGGGTGTAATCCCAGGGTGTAATACAAAAACCCTAAGAACAAAGGGTTATGTGGACGCTCTGCAATGGATACGAGAGGAAAAGAGTCATGCTTTCCAGATTCCCAGCTGTATCCATTGCTCACCCGCCACGGTGACACCTCCACCGTGCCAGTGTTCGCAGGGCCTGCTGACCTTACGCCCCATGACATGCAGCGAAGCAAAAAAGAAAGCCTTCACACGGAGGAAAAAAAAGGGGGAAGGACCCTTCTTCCCGCTTCTTGCCAGGCATCGCTTCAAGAAAAACAAACAAGCAACTCTGATTTAGGGCAAAGCTGTCATGGCATCCAGGAGCTGAGACCGTGACAGAATCGCTTCGTGATCTGCGCCGTCTTCTCCAGTCCTGTGGCACTCATCTTGCACAGGCAGAATCGCTTCGAAACACCATGGATCCCTCTGCTCAGTCGGCTAAGCGTACTGTGAGACTTGTGTAACGCATATTTTGGCGACTGGCAACAAACTTCGGAGCCTCCATACCTTCCACAGCCCTTGCAAAGAACATCTATCCTCCCTTCCACTGACATAGCACCAGTGGGAGGGTACCTAGAAGATCATGTTAATTTTGTAGGGAGCCCCTGTCAGGTGCCATGCTAGCGGGAGATAGGGTACAGAAACCGGAAAAATGGCAAGGCCCGCACCATGTGAAAGCCTCCGCGCTCGTGCCGCAGGCAATGCTCAACGGGGTGAGAAGTGGCAGCCTCCGGCCCGAAGGAAAGCAGCCGCAACTCGCGGTGACGTCGGACTTTGAACAAATCATCTGGGCCAAGGGGTTTTCATGGAATGTGGAACCTCATCCGGGTTTCTGGATTCAAGAGTTGCGATGTACACTCACCCCATCTTTCCCGGTCACTCACTTCCCCATCTGTCTCTCTCCTCCCTCGCTCGCCAATGGACAAGTTCTTAACACGGTCAAGGGAGAGAGGTTCTTGGTGGTTGGAATGGAGGGACCGGACTCTCCCCACGCGGAGAAACGGGATCGCCCTGACCTCTATGCTGGGGCCAGCGCACTTGTTCGGGGATGCTTGTCCGCATCACCCGGAGGCTGACGCGCGCCTGAAGCCAATCGCTTCCGGAACGAGCTTCCCATCCGTTTCCACCAACTAGTGGCCACTCTAAGGAAGCTTGGAGGAATAGCACCCTGAGCTTCCGCTGCTTTCCACCAACGTGGCTCTGCTGAAGGATCGCACCTGAGATTTGTCGCTCCCGCGCTCAGCTCGCAGCCGCTGAGAGGGCGCCCTCCACAGGCCAGCGCCTTGGCACGAAGCGCGGGGAGAAAACCTGGCGTCTTTTCCCGCATAGCATGACGGAAGACGTGTTACATGTTGTCGAAGCGGTGGCTTTCCCATGGAGAAATTTGGAAAACCCTCCCAGCAGCGAACACGGAAGTGCAAAAAATTAGGCCCGTTCCAAGAGGAAATTCCGTCTTTCTACAGGGATCCTTGCATTATACACCTGAGCATTGCCTTGTAAATGGTGGTTTCCAATCATTTTGGTGATGAAACAGCGACATGTTTCAATTGGTGGCAAAATGCTTTAAGGAGCCCTGTTCTACAGGGGGCCTTTTTGAAAATCAGGTTAGTTGGCAGGGTAGGGCCTGCTCGCACATCAAAACAAAGCTCATGGCTCGAGGCCCGAGGCCATCGAGGCCCGAGGCGCGCGCGCGAAGGTCACCAAGGCGGCCGCCGAGATCGCGGCGCCGGAACCTGCAGGCTCGGAATGCGTCAAGGCGAAGTGCGGTTTTCCAGGCTGACCAAGCGTGTCGGAGTCTTTGTCCATTTTGTTGTGTTTTGTTTGTTTGTTTTTTTTGATTTGATGGGCAATCCTCACATGTTTCGACACATCACCGTGTCCAGATTTGAATCTAGACAAGCCTGGCTGCCTTGCTCGCTCGTACATTTGCCAGCACATGCCAATCTGCGGGCGCATTCATTTTTCTTCTGATCTCACCGATCCATGAGCCCCGGACAAGTGGACTCAAGCAAACTTGATTTACAAATCTCTGGCCAACAAGCACTTTGCTGCACCAGCTGTTCCTGGCGTCCTGCTCGGAGACTCTGAACATCACTCAGGGTAGGTCTGAATGGAAGCATAATGTTGACCCCGGATTAATAAACCCCTGTTTATTAATATGGGGGGTGTCCCTGGTTTTAGCGGGGATTTCTCACTTTTGGAGGGGAACACCCCCATATTAATAAACAGGGGATTAATCCGGGGTCAACTTTATTTGGCTGTGGGTCAAAAATAGGTGCCCAAAATGGGTTGCCCTGGTAAATGGAAACAATGACTAAAACCTGCGTCCAATTCCTGGTGGTTAATTTTGACCCATACCCACTTCGTCTTTTGCCTGGCTTTCCGCAGTTTCAGAAACAGCCATTGCTTACCAAGCGGATGGGCATGGGGTCTAGGCACCCCAAATAAGCGTGCTACTGTGGATGGACAAAACCCGTTCGCACCAGTTGGAAACCATGGTTGAAACCACTATTTGTTGGTATTTACAGGGGAATCATCCGAAACCAGGGCCTCTTAGGTGGCGCGAAATGGATTTCGTCTATCCACAGTACGTGAACCACATTTTATTTTGAACAGATATATAGGTCGATGCATTTTGCGCCATCATCTCACCCCTATGATGTACAAGTAATCAGGTCCTTGACCTGGCGAGAAACCGCCCCAGAAGCAAAGAAAAGGAAAGAGTCCAGAACCATCCTGTGAGTCTTGCATGATTTGGGTGTGGCTCAAACAAGGGGTCCCAAAATGGAGCCTTGGCAAATGGAAAGGTAACAAAAGCCTGCGCAACCCAGCTGTTTGATTTTGAGCCACATCCATTTGCATCTTCACACTCATGGAAACCATCTGTGTCTCATGAGTCGGCATCTTCTCTGGACTCTTCCCAGTCTTCGCTTGCGAAAGGTAGTTCTCTTATGTCGTGGCTCGCAGCCTCGCAGGATAGAGTTCGCGAGCTCCTAAATGGCTCACAAAACCATCCCGGTGACCAAAAAGGACGAAGCCCGTCCGGATTCCTCAAATAACTATCTTCCCCAAATAACTATGAAACTTGCAGACATATTTTCGGGCGTGGTCCATTCAGGGCCTCTAAAAAAACGACCTGCCAGAGGCAACACCGACACCCTGATAGCACACAACGCCGCTCTCATTGATGCGGCGGTGCCATTTCTGGGGGCGGGTAGCGCGGCAAGTCACACGGCTGCATGCCACTTAAAATCTGGCGCCGCTTCGAAAATTGACCTGTGGCATTGCCACCGGCGCCTTGTTCACCTTATTCGGAGACAGGCGCCTCTAAAGATCCAGCACGGACTCAGAAGTGTCTGCCGGCTTCCTTGGCTTGACATGCCCCGACTTCGCCCCGCATTCAGCGCAGCATCGGCACGCCCATCAGAGCAGGCCCTCGACCAGTTCCTGGTGACGCAGTCTCAAGCATCACCCCGACAAGGGCAAGTCTGTCTGTGGCCGGAGTGTACACCAGTCACTCATTTCAAACATTCAGCGCATTTTATAGTATTCATATTATGTGTTTATTAAAGGATGGCCAGGGAAGATGGGTGAGTGATCAAACGTTCTGCATAAGGAACGGTTCGCAAACCTGCGCGCAACCACAACTGCCGAGTCTGGTCCCGGCCTAACGCAGGCGCTTATAAACAAACAAGCACACACAAACAACTACCGAATCGCATTCAGACAACTAGGGAGTGTGTTGTGTTCCGACTGCAGGCTCAAAGTGTCGAATACATTCAGCCCTAGAAGGAAGCAAGCCGTTAAAAGGGTTCCCTATGCTCAGAAATACTCATGCGCTTTTTATACACGCGGTGTGCGCTTTCTCGCGCGCAAGCGTTGCGCAGGAGGGTGCACGGCTTGGCAGCTTTCCAGGTTTGCCCTTGCCGGCACGCTGAAAGTGGCTGCCCGAGCAAAACTTCGCCATGCGAGCGATCACGCAAAGCCACGCCCGGCAACCAACAGTTCCAAGAGCTGCATCAGTACCCGACTGCCGCCAGTCAAAGTCCTTCTTCGGACGTACGGAACTTGAAGCAGCTTATGTCCGTCGCTTAGCAACTAAGGAAACCATGCGTTCGCCACGTCGCTCGCGTTTCGAAGTCTTGAGCAGCACACCTTGCTCGACCCGAGCCGGGACTCGCGGAACCGAGGCCGCTGCACGCTCAGGCTCGGTAGGGCGCGGGTGTTGACTACACATGTTTTTGCGTAGTCTGCTACACTTTGTGCATGGCCCCAGCCACAACCGTGTCACGACCTGGGCACGGGATATTCGCATGGCACGAGTGGGTCACCTTGGATTCATATTCGCGCCATGGCCCAGAAAGGGCTGAAGGGAGACGCTCTCACGTTGAGAGCGTGTTGCAGGGGGTTCGAAGCATTGCTGCTTCGAGAACACCAGGTCTTGAGCGTCACAAGCAAGGAGTTTCGAAACCAAAGGTCAGGGTGGCAGCAGGGGCAAGAAGCAGTGACAGCACTGCTGTCAACTTATTCTCTTACTTCAGGATTGCTTAACGACAGCTTCAGCATCACGAGTTGTTTGCTCAGCTCAATGCAGTTCTCTCCTGGGCGACTTCAACTCAACGTTGCTACATCGGGGGTCTGGGCAAAACTCCATCCCCTGTTGGTGTCCCTTTGGATAAGCTAAAATTAGACGAAAAATAACTGGCTATTTAGCACCCCGTACTGAAGCAACAACACCTTGGACCGCTCCCACAGCGATGCGAGGAAGCGGCCTGCAGCTCCGCGTGCCTGGTGCCTGTGATGCGGCCCTGCATCTCCCCATCCTGCCGGGGGATTTGTCTCCCAGATCTGCACTGCAACCCTTCAAAGGCACCCCAAGTTCATCAACCCATGCAAAACTGGACAGCCCAGAGTTTCTCTGGCAAAAGGCCAAAGGGCCTACAACGCAACTTGCAATTCCCTCCTAACTCCTAACGGTGATGCAATTGGAAACAGTGCAAGAGACCACCCGGACCTTGAAAACGATGAAGGTCGGCAGCTCGCGAACCTCCATTTCCGAATAGAGCGGCTTCACCGCCTTTGCGTTTCGGCCTGGCGCATTTTCTTGGACGGGCAGCCCGGGCACCCCAAATGGGTGTGGTCACCACGAAAACGACCACACCTGTGCTGCTTAACAGCAGTTGAGCCCGAAGCAGCTTTTAAAAACTGCCCTCTGCCGCGCCTGGTTCCAAGCTGATCTTCACCACTTTCAATCCATTGGGAGCATATTTCGACTGAGTCACCAGCAACCATGTGAATGCAATCATGGAGCATGCAACAAACCAACTTGCATCAGGCCATGCCACAGGGTGCTGCAGTTTTACGCTGCACAGTTAGAGGACCACCTGGAGGCATACCTCTCACACGCCAAGCCACGGCCATCTCCTCCATCTTTGGCTCCATGAGAAAGCAGGGGCCGCACATTGAGGATGAGAACATCGCCTCAGGCCAAGAAATACAGGAACTCGTACTTCTCCACAGCAACTCTTGATGATTCAGAATATGAGCGTGTCTCTTCTTTAAGGGGGCCCACAAAAAATCGTGTGTTCTTTCCCCTTAGTTTCCCCTTAAAGCCCGCAACAACCTCCGGTGCCCTCCAAAAACAAGAGAAGAAGAGCAGCCCCCCCCCCCCGGGCGCGGGTGGACACGTCCTTCGGGCAGGCGGCTACCGTGAGGGAGCCGTTGAGGTTGGCCTCGAAGTCCTCGCGGTTGTCGAAGGACATGATGGAGCTGGCGCCTGGCCGGATTCCCTCGGCCTCCCATGCTGACTCGGGGACTGCGTGCCGTACTTCCCAAAGAGGAGGAGTAAATGATGGCCAGCTGAGCCATCAAAACTTGGGTCTAACCTCCGATCCTTCACCATGCCATGCTTAACTCAGAGAGCAATGCGAAACATCCCCCCCACCGTCCAACCACACGCACGACACACAGAGAAACAAGCGACAAGGAGAAGTACATTATGGCCAGTTGAGCCAAAATCAAAACCCGGGGTAGGCCAACCTCCAACCACGCACGAAACCAGACACTCACACAAGCGCTCGGTGTTAGCTGAGCACGCCCTGACAGTCTTGAATCTGCCACTGCCACGCGTGCCATTGCTCTTGCAGTTGCCCTTTGCTTTCCATGGTCACAAATCTCTAGCCAAGAGCACGTTGGCCGTAGGGTTGCAACACAAAAGGCGCCTATCCGTCTACATGGCCATGGCCAGTGAACATCCCAATCCCCACTAACATAGGTTCTAAATGGGTGGTGCACGTGGCCCAAACTGGGATCCTATTAGTTTTGACAACCACGGCCATATCTCTTGGGGCTTTCAAGGTGCCCTGCCAGCCTCCTCCTTTAGCAGCCCGTGCCACTGCAGCGCGGCGGCCCGGGAACGGCCTCCATCCGGCCAGGAAGGCGCCAGGCGTTGCCTCAAGCACAGCGATGCAGACAGAATGAGAAATGGACATGACCCCTACAAACCATCCAACTGGTGGCTTCCTTTAAGGGAATCCCCGGGTTCATTCCCTGAGCACCAGCGAGCAGAAGGCGGCGTGAGCCTGACGCAACAATTTCTAGACGCCCTGAGCCGTGGAGCGATGAAAGCTGCCGCCAGCAGCAAAGCGGTGACCGATCGGCGAAGAGTCCTCAGCCAATTCAGCATGCTTCAGCATAAGTAAGACATGTCCCAGGAACTGTGTTGATCTCTGGGAACATGGCTGTGGCTCAACAACCTGGTACAAAAATGGGCTGCCCTGGTAAGTGGAAACATGGACCAAAACCTGCGTAACCCTCCTGTTTAATTTTGAGCCACACCCACACGGGCACTGAGCAGCTGATTGCATTCTAGTCCAGTGAAGTGGCACAAGCAACCAGCCAAGCCATCCCAGCCTGCGCTGCATCGGAAGCCAAAGCGTCGCTTGAGGGAGCCGGAGGTGATTTGAGCCAAAGGTGCTGTGCGCAGCGCGGTTCCCAAGCGGTCAATGAGGTGTGGGAAAACTAAACCGCTTTGACGACATGGTGAGCCGCGGACAAGAAATGGCAAAGAACATGGGAGAACTCGAGTCCTCTTCGCGAAGTTCTAGCCTGGCCGCGAACACAGCTAGGGCCCCCGCCGTCACCGAAGCTCCAGCACAGCTGCAGGCAAGCGTCGCCAAGCGCCGTTTCGGCCACGGCATGATACCCGAACTCGGGCAAGAAGGCGTGCACCACGACTTTGCCGCGGTGGTCGCATTGCGCGGGGATGAAGACCTTGCCTCCCATATGCGGCAGCGGGTGAAGCAGAGCACCTGCATCAGAGCTGGCGGTCACCAAGCAACATCTGACGTGAGGAGAGTGAACAGCGAGGCTGTGCACAAAGATCCCCGCCACCTCACCCTGGCTGGAGGCTTCTAGCCGCAGCTCATCCGCAGCATCTGTGGGCGGCATGAAAATGCCCAGCACCGGACGTGGCACGTCGACCCGCAGCGCTGCGAGGACTACACGGAGCACCACAGAGTGCTCTCCCACTGGCAGCGTGACCACCTTCTCATCCCCAGCTCGCAGTCGCATCGCGAGGATATCCACAAGGGACTCCGAGAGAGCAAGCAACTGCGACAGGCCAGGGCCCCGCTCCACCTGAGCTTCAAACCCAGCGGAGACGCGCCAAAGTGACCGGCCCAGCAATCTCAAGGGGTCCAACAAGTTGATCTCGGCGCAGTCACCCAAATGACTGATGGAAAAGCTCGCATCTGGCCGATGCTCTTGGTCTGAAAAGCACCCCGCAGGCACGTGAATCACCAGTGGCATCTGAAGCTTCGGAGGCGCCGCTGCAAGCGTGAAGCGAACGCTAATGCCACACGGCATGCCGGGCCTGGGTCGCAAGTAATCCGCAGGAAAAAAACGCAAGTGAATCTGCGGTGGCTGCTTCACTGCCACGTCCATTGTCAAAGGCTCAGGGTGTGGCTCCAGGAACATATTGCAGGGCCCGCGCGGCCCGCGCATCTGGGAGAGCTGCCTCACGCATCCGCCGGCCAGCCCTCGGTCAGCAAGGCCCGCATGGGCGCTGAACACCACGTCGCGCTCCACGACAAACAGCTGCTGCGGCGCCTTTGGCGCCACGGGCGACTTCTCCGCCTCCTCGGTCCAGCTGATAAAGCCGCTGGAGGGAGACGAACCATTGCCAGCGGCGGCCTCCAAGGACCACGTCCCAGAGAGCTCCCGAAAATCTATCGCAAAGCGCAGAACGCCACACCAGTCCATGGGATGAGCCAAGTGAGCCTCAGGCTGTGGCGGCGCTGAAGGTGGTGCAGGCGGCGGCTCGTCGCAACATACTTCAAAGCTCAAGGTGCCGTACCTTGGCACATGTGAGCTATGCCAATTTTCGCAGGACCAAAGAGGAAAAAAAAAGGAATCATTCCGGCTTGAAATTCCTTCCCCCCCCCCAACCCTAGGAACATGCCTCCCCCTTCCCCTCCCCCCCTCCCTCCCTCCCTCCCTCCCTCCCTCCCTCCCTCCACCCCGCTGGGAACCCGCCGGGCGGCCGGCCCGGCGCGTTCTCCAGCGGGCCGTCGCTGGCCAGGCGCCGCTGCCAGGCCAGGCCGGCCAGCGACAGCGACGCGGCGCCGTAGCAGAAGGCCGCCCCGCGCCTGGCGCAAGGAACCCCTGCGTCCGGGGGAGGGGGGGGGCGGCCTGGGGGGGTGGGGGAAAAAGGCCCCAATTCCATGTATCTAGTCTTCCCAGTAAAAGGGAACATGGAACCAGAAATGGATTTCCAGGGCTCACCCCCTCCCCCAATTCAACAACCCCAAGGCGATCCCCGTCCTGAAGAATTCGGATTTCTATCAGAGAGAACGCCAAAAGCTGGCTCCGTACAGAGTCATGAAATACCTAGACTCATGTGCTGCGTCGAACCACCGGCGCTCCTCGCCTTCAACTTATGCAATTAGGGGTGTGGTCTAATTGTCCACGGGCGTTGGCTAGCAACTGTGAAGCGTGGGACGAAACAAAGCATGGAATCTGCCGACATGTCTGATGCCGGTGTTACCGCAGAACTCTTTTCAAATTGGCGATTTGCAGGTGTTTTATCAACTGGGTCCACTACTTGTTCCAAGAGAAGTGTCCGCGCAACGGCATTCCACAGCTTAGTGCCAATTGGGCATAACAATGACTTCAGCTCCTACTACAGGGGGAACCACCCCAGATTTGCGTGGTGCCCGGAGTCCGAAATGGGGGAAAAAAAACCTCCTTGGATGATGCTCCAAGTCCCCAGGAGCCACCCCCCGCGTGCGGAGGCTGCGACTCCGCGCTCCGCCTGGGCTGCAGGTGGTCCGCCTCGAGCAGCACCAGCGCCAGCTGCGCCGCCGAGCCCCTGGCAAGCGCCAGAGGCGCCCAGCGCGGCCGCGGGAAGCTGGGCTGGGCCTGCCGGGCTTCAGCCCGGCTTGGAGCCGCCGGGAAAAAACAACACGTTTAGGGCCAGTTTAGGGTTTAGGGTTAAAAAAAAAAACGCCTTAGGGGCCACCTGAGCCTCGTCAGGTGCTCAGCAAGCCACCTGAGCCTTTCAGCTGCATTTGTGATTTGGTTCCCGCGCTTCAGGCGACACCTTTCGCAATGCCAGCCGATATTTGAGGGAAAGCAAGCCGCACCTCACATCCTGAATGCCCACCTCGGAGACTCCGCAGAGGATGCCGTCCAGGAAGGCGACAAGCCGCACCCGGCCGCAGACGCCCAATTCGTGGTCACGGGGGCACAGGTCGCTGGCCTAGGCTTTGCGACTCGCGCAGGCTTCAGGACGTGATCCTCACCACAGGATGGATGACGGCCGTGCCCCTTTATCTATCAAAAACATGCTGACGTTCGAAGGAACCAGTGCACGCCTCCCAGTCTCAACACAGACAGTAGCGAGAAGAGTCCATGTAGCGCGTTCCACTGAAAGCGCCTTTTTTGCGAGCTGGCGCCTAGGCACCATCGTCGGAAGGTGTGTGAAGCAGCCCATCCACAGCTTTACCGGTTCTTAGGGGAAGCACCTCCAAAGCACCAACCGCGTGGCCGCGCAAGCGCGGGCAGCGGCCCCCGAGCACTGAATTTCACCCCACCCCGCCTCCGCATTCGCCACGAAGATCCTGCCAGCGAGCAAGTGGCTTCAACCCCACGCCTTAGGGGCCACGCCTGGTGGCTGCCATGGTCGCTCAGAGCTTCTGTCCATGGCGGAACTCTTACAGAAGTTGCTCTGTGTGGAAGGGGGATGGGACATGGCAGAAAGCTGCTGGATGACTTTCAGTGCCATGGCTCGCCCGTTCCATGCATAAGCTTGGGTCCAACAGGGCAAGGCATCATGGCCGGCAAACTGAGCAATGCCCAAGACGCGTAGCACAAGAGGGTGAAGTTGTCATGCCGCTCTTTGCTGGATAATCCATTTAACCACAGCGTGCCGTCTCATGCACTCGGGCCGCTTGAGCTGCGGCTATCATGCTCCCCATGTCGCTTGGTAGCTCGGCGCATGTCACAAGGGCAAGTGATCTGCAAACAGGATCATCGAAGGATAACTCAATCCTTTCTTGAAGCTGCAGACTGACGGTGCTCACCCTGTTGCTGCTCAGCAGCCCAGAGGGGACCTCGAATTGTGATTAAATTACATTGGCCAATGCAGCCCCGCGACGAGCTTGGCAAAGCAAGCGTGGCCCCAAATGCAAGCGCCTGCTTGGCATCGAATTAAGTAAAAACTCTTACTTACACTTGAATATCGAAAACATGTCTAGGTCACCTCATGCTGTGGCTGACCCGCCATGGTATCCTCTAGCATGTGGAGACATGCTACGCCTGGAAGGTGCCCTACCAAACCGATGGTGCAAAGACCATGGAAGGCGTCTTTCGCAAGCTCTGCTCTTGAAGCCCTTCACATGGACCCGACGGACTCCTCAGAAGCAGAGGCCAAACAAACCACGCGACAAAAATTCGCCGAACGGCAGGTCTGTAGGGCTTGATTCAACTTGTCCGATGTCTTTTCCGCCATCGTTCTTTTCAAACACCGACCGCTGGTTCCCCGGATTTTTTGGGCGTTTGTTTTTGCACGAAGGATGCCTGGAAAGAATGGACATGGAAGGTGCCCCTAGCAAGTCTAATGCCAGTCACAGAAATTTCCACCTTTTCACCCCAAGATAGACTTCAACGCCGGGGGTGCCCCTTCCTCCTCCAGGTGGTCGATGTCTCCCAGCGCCGCGGAGCGCGGCGCGGAGCGGACCGGCTGCACCGCGTCTGGGCTTTCCGCACGGTCCGCGCGGCCTGGTCTTCTCTGGCTGGAACAGAAAAATGGGCGTGGGTCAATTTATTAAGCCAGGAATTGGACCGCAGATAAGTGGTTGGATTTCAACCACTAAACCACAATAAGCAAAAATAAGCAAAATGTTTCCCAACAACAACCATGAGGTAGGGCTTCCAGAAAATCCGGGGTTTTCTACAGGATTCTTGGTTGGTGATGGTGTCCAATTTGAACGGTTTCCATGTGGAAACCCCAATCCAAATGGGTATGGGTCAATATTAAACCAGGAATTGGGCCGCAGAGTTGAGTCCAATTTCCATCTACCGGGGTGGCATTTGGGGGTTACCCTATTTTTGACCCACAGCCATATGTTCCAAGCCAGGTTCGCTCCCAACAGCGATCTTTCTCGAACATGGAAACGCCAGCTGGTTTCAAACAAATGCCAATCCCCACCGCATCGGGGAATGAGGAGGAAAATTGCGCTCAACAGGAGACCAAGAGACTGTCGCCCATCTGTGCCCGTCCTGGTCCTGGTCCGCGCCAGGTGTTGTCCAGCCCGAAGCTTTGATCGGAAGACTCGCTCCTGAGGGACAACCGTTGGCTTCGAGTGAGCTGTCAGCCCAAGGCTAGGAAGTTGATTGGTCATGGTGCCTTCCCTTTTGGGACGGGTGAAGAGCCCCATATGGCCATGGGTCAAAATCCCGTACCCCTAGTGAACATCCCAATCCCTACCCCAAAAAAAAAACTAAAATGGGTGGTGCACCTACCCCAAAATAGTACCATTTGTTTTGACCCACAGCGATATGGATGGGGCACATCTTGATCAGCCCAGCTGCACGGGCGAGAAGGGCTTGATGGAGCTCCTCGCAACATGCGCAGCCTCCCTGTACCAAAAAAGACCGCAAACGGCAACCTCCGCTTTGGAAGTTGACCGCACGCAAGGAATGTGCTTCAAAACAGTATATCCACCTCTGATCTCTACGAATCATTCACGCCCTCACTCACGGAACGATGATGGCTTCGGCTGGGGCCCGCGCACCGTGCTGTTCAGTGCGCCTTCCGAAGCCAAAGCCAAGCACTTTGGAGCTGCGGTGCAAAGGACGCGCAGGCAGGGGTGAACATCTGGCCCACAAGCCCAAAACCAGCCTCCAGCTGACGGCCCCGCCTGCCACAAATGCAAAGTTCCTACCTGCTCTACGGCGAATCGAGTAGCCGGATGGCAAAAGGGTTGACATTGCGGAGACGTGTCAGATACCTAAGAGAGGATAGAGGATACCCCCCCCCCCCCCCCCCCCCGCCCGACGTCTGATACGTGGGGTTTAGGGGGGGTACCGCGCGGTAATTTGATGACGTTCTACTAAACGTAGTCGGTGTCGCAAAACAAGGGCTCGAATCCCCCTGCCGGCTCTTTGCTGGTTTGGGTTTCCTGCCTCCTTTTGCCGAAAATATCGAACAACTCTTGGCTTCTTAGCGTCCTCTTTGCTGGAAAAATCGTGTTTTTTTGCGGGAAATACCGGGGAGCAAAGGGAAATGAAAGGAAGTGCACGGAAATGAGGGGAGGACATAGGAAGTCGACATGACAAGAAAGCAAGGGAAATGAAAGGGAAACAAAGGGGAACTGAAAGGGACATGAAAGGGACAGAATGCAACCAGGGGAGCGCAGGGGGAATGAAAGGGAAACAAAGGACAAGGAAACCAATCGGCACGACGGGAGATGTAGGGAAATGACTGGCAACGAAAGAACGGGACATACATGGAAAATGAGGCGGACATACCGAGAAAATGACAGGCACATGAAGGGGAAATCAAGGGCAAAGCCAGTAGTAAGCAGACAGTTCAGGGTCATGAAGGGGAAGTGCCCGGACATCGAAACAACTCAGGGGGGGGGGGCGTGACGCTGCAATGCAGAGAGAGAGAGAGAGAGAGAGAGAGAGAGAGAGAGAGAGAGAGAGAGAGAGAGAGAGAGAGAGAGAGAGAGAGAGAGAGAGAGAGAGAGAGAGAGAGAGAGAGAGAGAGAGAGAGAGAGAGAGAGAGAGAGAGAGAGACAGGGAGAGAGCGGGAGAGAGAGAGAGACAGAGCCAGAGTCAGAGAAAGAGACAGAGAAAGAGACAGACAGAGGGAGAGAGAGAGAGAGACAGAGAGAGACAGAGAGAGAGACAGAGAGAGACAGAGAGAAACAGAGAGAGACAGAGAGAGAGACACAGGAAGACAGAGAGAGAGAGAGAGACAGACAGACAGAGAGAGAGAGAGAGACAGAGAGAAAGAGCGAGAAAGAGAGCGAGAGAGAGAGAGAGAGAGAGACTAGGTCCTCCAGTAGAGAGGTTAGAATAAGGGTACCCTTTTTTATGCAGAGGGACGTGGACAGGAAGGAGACAGGGAGACAGAAAGAGACAGAGAAAGAGAGAGAGAGAGACAGAGAGAGAGAGAGAGCGAGAAATAGAGAGAGACAGAGAGAGGGAGATTGAGGAGAGAGAGGCTTGGGGGATGGGGAGGATGGGGAGCAGGGGAGAGAGAGGAAGAAGGAGAAAAGGGAAAGGACAATGTCGGCGGACTGAGCCGGAGGCTCTAAAGTTATGTTGGCTTGGCAATGCTTGGCGAGTTGCTGGCATCGGCTCTCTGCGCGCGTCCCTGCGCACTCCTGCCTGTTGCAAACCAGCTCGCGTCTCGCAAAAACACGCGCCTGCACCCATCCTCCTTTGGGATTCACTGCAGTGTCTGACCTGAGTCGCACATCTTGTACATCGAACGGTGGGCTTTGTCGGTCTTTCCAGAAGCAATCGTGCTCCAGCCAGTCGGCCAGTAAACCCATGGCTACGCATCGTTGAGGAGCCAACTCGCTAGGCCTTTCCTGCCCGGGAGGGAGATCAAAGCTCGAATGAGTGAACCTTTGCATGAGCCCGGTCCAATAGTTGTGGATGGAGATTGCGATGAGTTAAGAATAGCAACAATTCGCGCGCACCTGGCTCTCTTGTCTCCAAATTTGATTTGGCATTGTCGCTGGTACTGAGTTTCTCCGAGCCCCCAAAGTGAAAGGCTCCTGATAACTCCCAGCACCCGAATTGATAGTCCCGCGAGCATTGCGTAGATTGTTCGCCGGTGTTGCAGCCAACAGGGTCAGGAAAACATCCTCATCCAATTGTTACCAAGGCGCTCTGGTAAAAGCACTTGTGATACTTGAGCTGTTCAGAACTTGATGAATCGGCGAGGAAGCCTAAGTTAGGGCTAGAGCCAACAGCAAGAGGTTCAGCTACAAGTTTCTTCATTTCTTACTCCATGGCTCAATGCTGGCAATGTCAGGGTCACCTTGAGGGCGCAGTTCAATCAAAGCTGTGCCATCTTCAAGCAAAACCCTGTCTTCCCGCCTCTCGCTCGGAGGGCGCCTCAGCAAACGTTGTTCGATTCGCTGGGCCATTGCCCCAGTAACATTCCCAGGCGAAAGAGCGCCATCCTCTCGGATCTTGCCGGATGCAGCCACAAGGGAAGTCGACCCTCGGCTCCTGGCAGATTTCGGGCCGCCGATGCCTCAGCCGGCGGCTTCGCTACAATGTGCATCATGCCGAGCTCGCCAAGCAATCCAGCCAGTGAGCCCATGGCTTAACGCGCTTCGCAGCAAAAGGAACAGATGCCGAGTGGCAAGACAATAACACAGCACCTGAGAGACTCTTAAAGCCAACCCATCGATTTGCGGCATCCTCGAGTTCCGCACCCGCCAGCGGCAGCACAGGTGTTGAGCTCGTGCCCTGCAATGGCTGTGTCGTTGTTAGGGGACCCCCAAGATGATGGTTGTCCTCATTTATTTTCCTTACAGGTCAACAGGGTAGCTTGCATTTGGCGGCGATTCTTGTAGCCATGGCCGTAGGTTTGATTGACCTACCTCCAGTGGGTAGAGGCCAGTGGATTTTAGCCTCATCTCGCCAGAGTGGCAGCCTCGAAATCCCTCACTTTATAGGCGTTTAGGAAGTCAAAGAATTGATTGCCCCCATATCTGAAAAAATGGCCGTCCTCCACACCACAAGAGAAGAAGTGCTTGTCCTTCTCATCTGAAAAAAGGACCTTGTAAGCCCTATCACCTTCAAGGATGCCATCCACCATGATGCCGCACGCGTCTCCGAACATGAAATGATACCAATTCTCTGCCGGCTGCTTGAATTGATTCACCAGTTTCTGTACTTTTGGCACATTCACCCACTGTTACACCTCATCCCTGAGAAGTACATAGCCTCGCTCCAGATTTTCTGGATTCAGCGTTCCATCCTTAAGCTGCTGGCACATCCAAATGGCCTGTCTCTGGGATCTTTCACCTTTGCCAGTTCCCTAGCTGTGGCCTTGCCTCCCCTTTTTGATCCTTCTCCGCCTTTGCCAGTTCCCTAGTGGCCTTGGCTTTGGCCTTTGCTTTCCCCTTCAGCGAACTGTCAACCTTCATGGCCTGCGTGTCCTTCACCTTACACTGGAACTTGCCTTCTTCATAGCCCGCGAACTCGGCTGGGAAGTTAGGTACAAGGCCGCTTGTTTGGGAGATCTTGACCAACATGGCCACCGAAGAACACCTTACGACATCGATATCACGAACACAGAAACGGGGACTCGGCAGAGAGCTTTCAAAGGGCAAAAATAATGGGTCAACATGGGCACCCTCACACTCCCCATCCGCGCGCCTTCGGCTTCCTTGGAGCTGCAAGCGCATAGATGCCAGACAAATCTAAAAAAAAGCAAAAAAAAAACATGCCTTCACCCAGGACCAAAAGCATCAGCTCAATCAATTGGCATTTGTTGTAAGTCGACAGTCATTCCGCTCTGTGAGTTTGCAACCCTTCAAAGCTCTCCGAGGCTTTCGCCTTGATCGTCGAAAGCAGTTCCCCTATGCAGCTGCCAAGCAGAATGGCTGCTAAAACAGGGAATGGCCTGTCAAGGCATGTTCTCCACTGAGGACCCTGCGGGTCTGGTGGCGGGGCCCCCTGTCACACTGGGCACACGGGCCCGGAGAGCGGAGTGCACATCTTGGTCCATGGGACACGTGAGTCACAATCAAAACCCGGTATTAACATGGTTGACCCAGAACCATGTAAAGAACTAAGAAGGCGGATATCCGCAGCTATTTATGGCAAGGGGATTGTCCCATACTTACCTTCATCTACCCAGGTTTTGAGCACGTGGCTCACGTGGACTTTGATGCCATGGCCTTCCCGCAACTCAAAACATTCGGATTTCCCAGGCATAGGTGCCCGATGAAAAGTGGGTGTGCCATAGGTGTCCTTTTTGGGAAAATAGATGGCCCTGGTAGGCGATTGAACCACCGGGCTAACCAGGGCCCTCTATTTTTCAACCAAATCAACCACAAAGGACATGGTGTCATGATGTGCCACTGCAACCGTTGACCTGACACACGGCCCGGGGCTATGAGTGGGCGCAATGCCCTCATGAGGCCTGCAGTTGTGCCGTTGAGGCTCTCGGCAAAGTTGCCTCCTGGCCAACCGCTCTGACAGGATGAGTCCAAGCCTTTGACCCTTTAACACCTCTTTGCCCTTGAAACGGAAACACGTGCACACGGAAACAAACAAACAACACAGAAACAAACAAACAAAAAACAAACAAACAAACAAACAAAAAAGCATACAACAAAGCGCAAACACACAAACAAACAAACAAACATCAAACAAACATCAAACAAACATAGAAACAAGCAACCAAACAGTCAAACAAGCAAGCAATCAAAGCAAAGAATCAAGCAAACAAACAATGACAAACAATCAAACCAACAAGCAAACGCACAAACAAGGCAAAGCAAAGCAATGCAGAGAGCAGAGCAGAGCAGAGCAGAGCAGAGCAGAGCAGAGCAGAGCAGACAAACAACCAAAAAACAAGCAGACAAGCAGACAAGCGTGCGCACAGGCGCACAACATGCGCTGCTTCACAAGTTGCAGCGCTTTCCGACATCCATCCCACCCCTTGCCCCACCGGCCCGCAGGCCTCTGGCGCTGCCGACCTGGGAGCCCACAGGTCGGATCCCAGGCTTCACCACAAAATTGGCCATGGCTCAACAGCCATAAATCGTACCCAGTGTCCCAAGCCAAGCACCAATAGAGGTTCTAAAATGGGTGGCGAATTCACCTAGCCCAAAATGAAATCCCAAAAGTTTTGACCACCACAGCCAATTGAGCTCTGAGGTGCCGACTTTGGCGCAGCAGGCAGCGTCGCAGAATGCCTCGGCAGTGTCGCATGAACTGCCAATGGCTTTTGGTGGGATCCGCTGGGTGGCCTCTGAAACCTGAAACTGCGACCTCTCGCCTAAGGTTCCAACATGTTTCAAGTTGCAAGCAGTGCAAGCGCTTCCTGCAAGCGAGCTGGCGGCATTTTTTCTGTGGCCTGCGCCTGCCTTCTCTCTCGCGGGGAAGGCTGGGTGATTGAACCGAAAACCGCCGAGGGTGTGACCCATGTCCGGGCCGCGAGAGCGGCCGTTGCTCTCCGCACGATGTGCCAAACCAAAAGCTTCAGGACGCACTGCTGCACCGCCCAAGGTTCCAACCAAAACAGACTCCTGAAGTCTTGTCTGTTGAAAAACGTGCTTAAGTACAAAATCGACACAATGCCTTGCATGGCGCGGGCAGCAGTCCCGAATAGAAGCCCAACGCCCTCAAAAAGCCTTGCCTGCACGACATGTGCGGCAACTCACAAGAACCACGGGCCGCGGCCGAAGAGGTGGACGGGCGTGTGATGCACAAAGTGCCAAATCAAAATGCCCACCCAGCGGTCCCGGCACTCATCGATCTTGGAGGTCTCGATGATCTCTTTCTGCAGGGCAGCTGGGATCCACCAGTTCACCATGTACCCGGAGTTCTTGTTCCTCAGTTGCCCAAGAACAGCCCCCAAACATAAAAAAAAAGCTGATCACCTTCTTGGGCCCGTGACCCAAAATGGGAACCCAACATCGGAACATACAAGGTGCTCACTGCTGGGGCCCACCAAGAAACGGGGGAACCCCCAAAAATCGGAGACAACAAAATCGAAAAGCTGAGCTCAGGAAAAGCAAAAAACAGAGAAAACAAAAGAAAAGGAAAAGAAAACAGAAAAAGAAAAAAAACTGAGCTCCGCGGCCGGCGGCTTCGCCTTGGCGGCGATTTCTTTTTCGCCGAGTGGCTCGTTGGCGGCCACCACGAAGCAGGCGTCATGGGGGCCCAGGCTGGTGGCGAACATGCCGGCGCCCCAGGGCCACCAGGTCTTCACCAGGTTCTTGTTGTCATTCCTCGCTGGGCTTGGACGGCCAAAAGGACGGCCAGGGCAGTGTGTTTGTGCTTTTTGATGCCAAAATTGGACGGCCAGGGCGGTTTGCTTGCGTTCTTTGAGGCCAAAAGGACGGCCAAAAGGACGGCCAGGGCAGTGTGTTTGTGCTTTTTGAGGCCAAAATTGGACGGCCAGGGCGGTTTGCTTGCGTTCTTTGAGGCCAAAAGGACGGCCAAAAGGACGGCCTTTGTGCTTTTTGAGGCCAAAATTGGACGGCCAGGGCGGTTTGCTTGCGTTCTTTGAGGCCAAAAGGACGGCCAAAAGGACGGCCTTTGTGCTTTTTGAGGCCAAAATTGGACGGCCAGGCGGTTTGTTTGCGTTCTTTGCCAAAAGGACGGCCTTTGTGCTTTTTGAGGCCAAAATTGGACGGCCAGGGCGGTTTGTTTGCTTTGAGGCCAAAATTGGACTTTGAGGCCAAAAGGACGGCCAAAAGGACGGCCAGGGCAGTGTGTTTGTGCTTTTTGAGGCCAAAATTGGACGGCCAGGGCGGTTTGTTTGCGTTCTTTGAGGCCAAAAGGACGGCCAAAAAGAACGGCCCAGTGTGTTTGTGCTTTTTGAGGCCAAAATTGGACGGCCAGGGCGGTTTGTTTGCGTTCTTTGAGGCCAAAAGGACGGCCAAAAGGACGGCCAGGGCAGTGTGTTTGTGCTTTTTGAGGCCAAAATTGGACGGCCAGGGCGGTTTGTTTGCGTTCTTTGAGGCCAAAAGGACGGCCAAAAGGACGGCCTTTGTGCTTTTTGAGGCCAAAATTGGACGGCCAGGGCGGTTTGTTTGCGTTCTTTGAGGCCAAAAGGACGGCCAAAAGGACGGCAGGAGGCCAAAATTGGACGGCCAGGGCGGTTTGTTTGCGTTCTTTGATGCCAAAAGGACGGCCAAAAGGACGGCCAGGGCAGTGTGTTTGTGCTTTTTGAGCCAAAATTGGACGGCCAGGGCGGGCTTGCGTTGGCTTTGAGGCCAAAAGAACGGCCAAGGGCGGTTTGTTGGCGTTTTTTGCGGCCAAAAGGACGGCCAAAAGGACGGCCAGGGCGGTTTGTTGGCGTTTTTTGCGGCCAAAAGGACGGCCAAAAGGACGGCCAGGGCGGTTTGTTGGCGTTTTTTGCGGCCAAAAGGACGGCCAAAAGGACGGCCAGGGCGGTTTGTTGGCGTTTTTTGCGGCCAAAAGGACGGCCAAAAGGACGGCCAGGGCGGTTTGTTGGCGTTTTTTGCGGCCAAAAGGACGGCCAAAAGGACGGCCAGGGCGGTTTGTTGGCGTTCTTTGAGGCCAAAAGGACGGCCAAAAGGACGGCCAGGGCGGTGTGTTTGTGCTTTTTGAGGCCAAAATTGGACGGCCAGGGCGGTTTGTTTGCGTTCTTTGAGGCCAAAAGGACGGCCAAACGGACGGCCAGGGCGGTGTGTTTGTGCTTTTTGAGGCCAAAATTGGACGGCCAGGGCGGTTTGTTTGCGTTCTTTGACGGCCAAACGGACGGCCAGGGCGTTTGTGCTTTTTGAGGCCAAAAGGACGGCCAAACGGACGGCCAGGGCGGTGTGTTTGTGCTTTTTGAGGCCAAAATTGGACGGCCAGGGCGGTTTGTTTGCGTTCTTTGAGGCCAAAAGGACGGCCAAACGGACGGCCAGGGCGGTGTGTTTGTGCTTTTTGAGGCCAAAATTGGACGGCCAGGGCGGTTTGTTTGCGTTCTTTGAGGCCAAAAGGACGGCCAAACGGACGGCCAGGGCGCTGTGTTTGTGCTTTTTGAGGCCAAAATTGGACGGCCAGGGCGGTTTGTTTGCGTTCTTTGAGGCCAAAAGGACGGCCAGGGCGGTTTGTTGGCGTTTTTTGAGGCCAAAAGGACGGCCAGGGCGGTTTGTTGGCGTTTTTTCAGCCCACAAGGACGGCCAGGGCTGATTTTTGGGGGGTGCCCGCCAGCCCACATGGCAAAAAAATTACACAGGGTACCCCCAAACAGGTCACACAGGTGTATGTTTGTTGGAGGGAGGGTACCCTCCCCCCAAAAAGAATCGGCGCGGCAAAGAAAGCCGGGTTCGTTTTGGCTTGAAATGAATGGGAAGAATGATGGGAGTCACTTGCGCACGTAATGTCTATGGTAAGCCCCCACATGGAATGATGGGAGACCACTCAGGCACCTTGTATGTCTTGCCATAGTCGCTGGCAGTCTGGCAAAGACACCTCTCTCCAATTCTCTCACTGAGGCTCGCAAGCTTCATCACGTTCAGGCAGGCATGGTAGGCTTGCTCCTCCCCGGGGTACGAGATCTTGGGCACCGGGGGCATCTCCCAGTTGCCCGGCTCGCCGATGCAGCCGTAGTTGCAGTCGCCCACGGCGAAGATGGAGCCATCCGCCCAGACGCCCCCGCCCAGAGACGGCTTCTTGGTCACCTGGCCATGGGTCGAAAGCCAATAGAGCAGGCTAAAATGAGTGGCGCACCTGCCCCAAAATGGTACCATTGGTTTTGTGAACATCCCAATCCAACCACTTAAATAGGTTCTAAAATGGGTGGCGAATTCACCCAATCCCAGCCAAAATGGGATCAACCAAAACGGTTTTGACAACCACAGCCTGCATGAACTTGTTGAAGTGGATCCAGCCACCGCCTCCTGCAATTTAGCGCCGCACTGAGACACTTAGGGGTAACTCCCCCTTTGGGGACACCCCTGGGTTTTTTTCCTCTATTGTGGGGTGAGAAAGTGGAACCTGGTGACTGGCATTAGACTTGTTTCTAGCAACTTCCATGTCCATTCTTTCCAGGAATCCTGCTTTCTAGAGAATCGCTAAAAACCCTGGGAAAAGGATCCGGCTTCTGGAAAGAACCATGGCTGAAAAGCATGGGGAATGAAGTTCCTAGAACTAAGACTGGAAAAAGCCGTCACCCACGCGCAGAAAGAAACTTGAAAAGCTCCAAAGCGAAGCTGGGGCCGATTTCCGCAACTGATTTCTGTCCTGGGCCCTTGTCGGAGAGAGTATCCTTGGGCATGAAATAGTTGGAGGCCTTGACACCGATGCAAACATAGGTCTCGTCCGCCCCGTTGGGCAGCTCGATCTGCTTCCAGAACTCCTGAGATGGAGCCGCGGTTTTGTTTGCTTGTGGGGAGCCATGCGGATCATGCGGATTGCTCAACGGGGTCACATCTTTTAGACTTTGCATCGGCTTCTGATATCCGACGATATCAGTCAGTTCTGGAACTTACTTGTGTTGCAGAAAAGATTATTTTCTTGGCACACCTCTCTGATTTAGGGCCCTTAGGGCTCTGCATTGCAACGCGCAGAAAGAGCCAAGATAACCAAGGCTCTGGGCTCTTTGGGTCGTACTTGCAGTTGTAAAACTCTTTGATGCCAGCCGCTGTCCTGGAAACGTGCAGGAACGGTCGTACGGTCAGAGTGGCTGTCTCATCTGCACATGCTCTTTGTCTGCGACATGGTTTTGTCAACGCTGCGTGGGGGAAGGTCGAGATCCTTCTTCCAGGTTGCGGAAATGCCGGTACTGTCGAAGCCTAGGTCCTCCAGTAGAGAGGATAGAATCAGGGTACCCTTTTTCTGTAGTCTATTTTAGTAGGGGAACCCTCCCCTGCTAACGAAACGGTAAGAGGGCACTACTGGGGGACCTAGAAGCAATCCATCCGACATCCCTATCAACATCCCCTGGCCTTTGGGACCGAAACAACGCCCCATTCGCCCCATTCACCAAGCCTTTTCACCCCTCCCCCGGTCATGTACTCGGAGCAGTAGTCCGCTGCACTGTCCGGCAGCGGGCCCAGGCAGCGCGGCAGGAAGTCGATGATGGTCATCTTCCTCGGCTTCCCTCCGGTTGGCTCCGGTCGGCTGTTTTATGAGGGCACTCCTTTTTTGCTTGGTTTCAAAGAGAAACCAAAAGGAAAACCGCCATTTGAGGGGTCCAACCTAAGAAAGCCACCCATATCACCTGAGTTAGCTGCAGGCACTCTTAGGCTTGGCGTCCCGCCACTTGGCTGGGTCAAAAATGGGGTAACCCCAAAATGGCTTGCCCTGGAAAATGGCTTGCCCATGACCAAAAAACAGGCGGTCCAATTCCTGGTGGTTTCATTTTGACCCACACCCAATTGATGGTTCGGATCGGGGTCCCACTTGACTTCAGGGTCGACCTAAAAAACCGGGGTGGTTCCTCCCCCAAAAAGGAGAACGACTAGGTTTAAGTCTACCTGGAGGGTTTGGTGGGATCAATTTACCCTTAGAACCCGGGTTCAAATCAAGCCACCCATCCAAGCATCCAAACAACCAAGTGAGGGATATATGTCCCCGTTCACAACGAAAGGAAACCATCGCTTTTGCAAATTGAGTTTGCTTTTGGGTGAAAGGGGCAGCATAGGAATGGGAGAACGTGCAGAGGCCTTCCCAATGTGTTAGGGGAGCTACAGTCGATGCATCCGCTCACCAAGATGATCTGTGGCAGCATGCCTTCCCCGGCTTCACAAATGTAATGGAAACATGATTGTAAACAACGTGTTCACCTCACGGATCCAGCTTGAAACAATCTGGCAGAGCTGCAAGTCCGGGAAGAAGTGCTCGAGCTCGGTTGCCTTGGTCATTTAGCCCCGAAGGCTGAAGAATTGGGTGAGTCTTTTGTTTACACCCGTTTTGATGTTGTTTTCATGGGGAACCAAAGGGAAAACCCACTTATTTTTAGGCCTTCCCTCAAGGATTTCACGGGCCGGACAAATTGTTGAAATGCCTTTTACCTCGTGGTTCAAATCGTGGATTTCCCCATCTGGAGTGCATCACCTTCAGCAGTGAGAGCTTTAGTTGCTGCGTGAAAGACTCCGCGGGTCCAGCGAAACGGGGCTCTGAAAGTCTAGAGAAAATCAGCTCGCAAAGACACGAATTAAGCGGTGCCAGGAAACCCACTCCACGCCAATGAAGCCCGCCCCGACCACCAAAACCGTGGACTTCTTCTTGTTGAGGTCATGCAGCTTCTGATACTCCTGGGACATCGCTCAGCTTGGCCAGCCTAACCCTCTCACTCCCCCTTTCTTTCCCCACCTTCCCTGCCTCCCCTCTGGGGACTACAGAGGAGTAAACGAAGCAAAGGGAGGACAGCAAAATAGGGTTCCACACTGTCCTCCAGCACGTGTCGGCGGCGTCCCTCCAGGAAGCGCTCATCGATGTGCTTCCAGTCGCTGTGGCCACGCGCTTCTTCGTGGACCGTGGGGAACCTGCGAATCCATCTCCACAATTTGGCTGTGGGTCAGAAACAGGTGCCCAAAATGGCTTGCCCTGGTAAGTGGAAACATGGACGAGAACCTGCGGTCCAATTCCTGGTGGTTTCATTTTGACCCACACCCAATTGATGGTTCGGATCAGCGTTCCACTTCTTGACTTCAGGGTCGACTTAAAAAACCGGGGTGGTTCATCCCCCAAAAATTCGCTGGTTTTTGACCAATGGAACCTGCGGCTGTGGGCGCTGTGCGAACCAAGGAGCCACAAAGATTCGCCCATGGGCTTGAAGGGCCCAAAGTTGCAGCCCGAGCAGATGATGCAGTAGTCCTACGCGGCCAAAACACCGCTTGCCCTGATCCGGTCCGACGGGAAAAGGCGAACGTAGGTTGATGAAAAGGTTGAAGAGGATGGCAAATGGACATTTGGGAAACTCGCAGGACATGGATATGGAGCAGATAGAACGAATATTATGCGCAAGAAATGCTCAAGTGTCCACACTGGCCGTAGCCAAGCTCGAACCTCTACGCTTTGGTTGGGTAATTTGCTTGATGTCCCATTGGCTGTGAACAATCCCCTGAAAACAGATCTAGACACCAAAACTTTACCCAAACCGAAGGTGTTGCGGCCGGAGGCTCAAATCCGATCTCGTCGATGCTGTTGGATGACATCGTCTTGATGCTTGCCGTCTTCTTCTCGCCATTCAGCTCCTTCACCTGGTTCAGGAGCTGTTCTGATGAGTGGAGGAAGTGCAGTAAGCACCCGTAAAATGCCGCCGGCCACGAGAGTGATTTCGGGCCAGGGATCACATCATGCATGGTTGAAATGCACATGTACACGCACATATTGGCAAAATAGATATACACACACACACATTTAATGTGTATGGGAGCTGTCAGAAATATTGACCCGTGTTCGACCCTAGTGCCACCTTGGGCTGCCTTTTCAAAAAGGGCTCCCAAAAATAGGAGCCCCTGATTACGTATCTATGCAC